ACCAAAACTAACTAGTCAGAACACCGGTGTTTTCATTGTATTACCGACCGCAGCAAAGTTGTTTTGCAAATTGGTTACTGGATATTCGCCCTCCGCGGAGTAAGGGACGTTCAGCTCAAGGTTGATCCGATTTATGAACGCCAATTTCGGCCAGCTGTTCTCTCCGATGCCTCCTGAAGCGCTGGGAAGTGCAGATACCGTAATTTTCCGAACACTCCTGTAAATAAATGCTTTGTCTTGTGACCAACTAATACAAAAACGTGGTAATTCATGCTATTAAACGTGGCACATTGTCCTTCATAGTCATGCTTCTTATTCAATATTTTAAATGATATTAAATGTTTTCTTCAATAGCTTCCACATCGTGTCCCCCATTAACTCAAAATCTATGTGAAATCGTTCTACTAGACTGTATAAATCATAGACATCAATACTATTAGTATTAATGTCTATGAGGTGTACTTGCAAATTTCCCAGTTAATATGCAACGCATGCGCAGCACGGAGCACGTTTTCTTCTACTGTATTTTAATGGAGGTTGGCAACATGGCGCATTACCGCCCCCCGGCGGTTGGTAAATTTTACTCAAGTAAAAGTAAAACAGCAGCCATTCAATAAACTACTCGAGTAAGAGTAAAAAGTATTTGGTAAAAATACTCAAGTGTTGAGTATCTGATCAAAACATCAGTGGTTTTATATTTAAAAATGACATTATTGAATGGAGAAACTGTAAATTACATGGAAATTTTACATAATAATTCAGATAAATAACATAATTACAAAATAAAAGCAGGCAAAAAGAAAAAAAATCATAATCTATTTCTTTCAGTATAAAGTTTATGAAATTTTATTATGTCTCTGTGTCTGGTAAATGTTTTATTAAAACATGCTTGATCTTAGTTCAGTGAAGTTTACCCACAGTGTGTAGAGATTCAATCTTACTCAAGTAAGAGTCAAGATACATCATTTCAATCTGTAGCGACTCACACAGAGAGAGAAACAGCAGTTAGATAATTTTATTGGACCGAGAATTTGGCGCTCGGACACCGGCGGAAGACGTGCGTGCTGAGAATCGCAGCGAGCTTGAATGATCGGCTCGAATGAAGCTCAGGTAGGTCTTCCCCCGGGCCCAGTCACTGGTGGTGGAGCGGAGCTTGGAGAGAGGAGTCTTGAGGGGACCTGGAGGTGTCTGGGAGGCTGGTGGTGGAAACGGGGAGGAGGTGGGTTGAAACACAGCTGAAGCGGGTGGATCTGTGGTTGTTTCGCCTTTTGAAGGAGCTCTTGCCAGGTTATTGGATCGAGGTAGAGGGGGTGCGTCCTGATTGGCTGGGGTGAAGGCGTGGTGATAGGTGATGCCGGAAGAGTCTTACAGGTTGAATTTTCGCCTAGGGCTTCATAATAAAATTACTTGAGTAAAAGTAAAAAGTACAGCGTAATAAAAGTACTCCAAAAACTAAATTTTTTTTTTCCAAAACGTTAGTCAAGTAAATGTGAGTAAATGTAACTGCCCACCTCAGTGTATTTCTAATTAAATTGTATATCTTACATTCTGTAAATAATTGGTTTGTTGTGTTGTTAAAAATAAGTGTAAAAAAGTATTTCTTTTTCTTTTTTAGTATATATTTTTCATACACTAGAATTTACAGATTGTTTTTGTCTGTCAGAGGCAGTGGCGCAAAAAGTGGGTATGCAGCGCATGCAACGCATAGGGGCGCTGCACCAGAGGGGGCGTCAAAATGCAGGGGGCGGCGCGCCGATGATGTGTTCGCATACACTTCACCGCGCCCTTACGCTCCTTCACCTCGCACACATGTAAATGTAGCGAGCTTTACCTTTCACGTGTCTTCGTCTCGGTGGGGGGCAGGGAGGGTTGAGCGAGCATATGTTTTCTACGCTCCTTCACCCTGACGTGAAGGAGCGTAGGAAGGTGGGGTTATTGCACCTGAGTAACATGTAGTTGCGACCCTGGTCAGAGGACATCATTGTAAAATATTAAGTTGGGTGTTATGATCATTGGGTGTCTACTTTGTACTTTTACTTAAGTAGAAATATGCTTAAGCTGTTTTAGGTACTTTACCTACCTCTGACTACTTAGTATCAAGCATATTTAATCATATTTCTGAAATGATAACAAGAATGATGTGGCCAGTGTAGTTTTGTTGTGGAGTTTTTTGTTTGGGTTATGGTTTCGAATTTCGATTAGCTGGTCAACAGCCTGTTTGAGACTGCATGCGACTTTCAATAAACCACTTTGTTTCCTCTATTGTTTGTTTAACTTGCTCCTGTTTCTACCTGGTTATAACCGAGAAACTTAAAATATGATTAATTATTGATTTTGTTTTTCCAGGAGTATTGTCAAAGGTTTCTTTAACATCTGGTAAAATGGATTGACAAAATGTCAATCCATTTAGCTACTGTAATCCAACATGTCCATATACAATGACACAGAGAGGGAGGGTGAAAAGGTGAGATGGGGGTGTGGCAGAGTGGAGAGGAGGGTAGAGAAATAGACAACTACAGCTCAGACCAGAGCCAGCAGGAAACCAAGAAGCACATAACTCAGGTACGAATACCTTTAATTACAGTATTTACAAACACATAGGTGTTACTGTGTGTAAATATAATGTAAAAAATGTGACAATACATATATATTTTCTTTTATGTGTCTAACTAAAGTTGACCTGAATAGTAATTTTCAGGATTTAATTTTTTTTTGTTTGTGTAATTCCCAGTGAATAGCTTCATTGTTGAGTTTCTCTCCTGCACATTCTGAATAATCTCCTCAATTTTAAATGGTATCATATATGCTGCAGTCCCAACACCTGGATAAATTCACCTGGTAACTTAGCAACTAGAGACTCTCATTCAAAATTAAAAAGGGGTAACTTCAGACAACATAACTTTTCCAGTCTAGAGGTTTGACAGGGATTTGTTGTTGACAGGTAAACTGAAGTTTTTCTCACTCTGACCAACATATTTATCAATGCACTTTATTTGATTGTTCATAAAATGATTTTTTTTTCTTTTAATTGGAGCCCAAAATAATCAATAGACAGTAGGAGGTTGGATGTTTTCAAAGATCCCTTTGTGTAACCGTGTGGCGGTAAACTGACACCTGCCTCTTTCATCCGAGCAAAAGCCTTTTTGTTTTCCTCCAGCCTGTTAAAAGGCACCAAAATCCAGATTAGTAATATGAAAAAATATTAATACCCCTTATACTTTTTCACATTTTGTCATTGTACAAGTATTTTCTTTGTACTCTAGGTGATAGACCAACACAACATGGTGCATAACTGTGAACTGGAAGAAAAATATTTGGTTTTCAAACATATGGAAACCAAATAAGCTGGTCAGATTGATAGGATGTAAGCCAGTTTAAAATACTAACCTCCTTTTTTTGGAAACATAAAATAAAATTGGATTTATCCATGCAAAATCTGATTAAAACCCTCTACCCCTTAGTGTTGCAGTGATCAGTAGGTGGTCTGAATACCTCATTAACCTCCCAGAAACAGAACATTGGCAACCTGAGATGACATTAGTGTCCCCATGAGAAACTAAACCTTGCCCAGACAAGGTAAAATTACAATGATAGCAAACCCATGTCCCAGTTTTAAAACAGCCACACGTCCTTTTGAGGTTTATGTGATACACCTCAGTCAACAGGTAGGTCAGGTAGAGTTCCTGAAGAACTGAGAAAGTAATGTACAACACAACAAAGGGTGACTGTGTAGGTGAGGAGTTATGTTACTTAAATAGTCCTGTTAGCTACAAATGTTGATAAGGGTTTTCTATGTTATAGATATTTTAATGATTAACCACAGTAGTTTGGCTAAAATTACCTTAAAATAATTAAAACTGAACAAAACCAGAAAGAATAGTTAAAATGACAAAGACTCAGCCTATGTTGAGCTCCAATGTGATCAAAGCAGAGCTACAGAGTACAGTAACAATTAGAAGATGCCTATATGAATTCAAGCTTTTGGCAATAAGCCTCCTCAAAGTCCCACTGTTGGAAAGAAATGAATTGGGCTGAAGAGGAGGCCGCAGACAGTTTGTCAGAAGATGGCCAAGCATTTAACTCAAATCATAGAATAGTTCAAATTCAATGAGGCATGGTGGCTCAGTCATTATGGTATAGAGATAGTCTATGTTTCAAAGGCATTTGTGTGTACAGACATAGAAACTACTTGGAGGAGTTTATGTTTTACTCCCTGGTATTAGTAAGAACAACTGTATTGCACTGTTTTAGTGTGCTGCATTTCTTTGTCTTCACAGACAAAAAACGGAGAGAAAGGTGAACCCCTTTAAAAGTGGCTTCTGAAATTTATCATTCACGATGTTAATGCGGTCTCACTCTGAGAGAAAAGCCCTCCCTGGCTTCTCAGCCTTACTGACACTCAGCACTCCAAAAGAGAGAGATGTGACCTTCTCATCTCCCGTGTACTTTACCCCACGGGACTCCATCTTTACACCACAATCTCCTACTTTATCGCCTCCTTGGGTGACAGAGGCACTTTCAACACTGGAGAAAGGAGAACAAGAACTTCAGATTCTAAGAGAGCAACAGCAAACCGAAGTGGAGGAGGTGAACCGTGAACTGGACAATGCGGTGATTGGAGCTCAGCGAGAAGAGCGACGCCTTCTTGAAAAGGTGGAGCAGGACTACAGGGAAGCCCAGCGACACCTTAGTCAAGTGAAGAGAGAAAACTCTGCAGCTGTGAGAGTTGTGCAGTCACTTGTTGATCAGCAAATTCGTAAAATTGCACAGTTGAAGGAACAGATTCAGAGATGGGGTTTTATGGCTGATGGATCAAACAAAAATCAGCTTCAAAGAGGTGTGATAGAGCTTACACAACCATGGGAAATCTCTCTAACCCTGAAAAGGGTCACTTTTCTTTCAAGCTCCCTGTATAAGACGTTCAATTTTGGGGAGATTGATATTCGTGAACAGGGTATGACCTACCACATTGGAGTCTGTGGTGGCCAGGGGCACAAATGTGCCTTGCACTCTGGTGATACAAATTTCTCAAACATAAATCCTCGTGAAATCCGAAAGGAACCCCAACCAAACAGAGGTGGGCAAAGGAGCAGTCCAGTGGAGAACATCAGGACAAAGAGTGGGAATTTTCGTGTTGTCCGGAAACTACATCTGTCAAGCTCCACAGAGAACGAGGATGAGCCTAAATCAACAAAGTCACCCGTTCAAAGACATCGTGAGGTATCAGAATCTTCACAGGATGAAGAGGTGGAATCTATCTGCTCAGACACACAAGGGCAAGATGTTTTTCTTGCTATTCCCTCTGTCTCCAGTCAAGCAGAATCAGAAGGTGATGAGTCTGATTGCAGACATAATGAAACAAAGAGACGCAACACAGTGAAAGGTAAAAGAAGGCAAAAAGCCCTTGTTATGGTCTCATGTGAAGAACTATCATGTCCTCTGGGAGAAAGTGATGACAAAAGAAGCACTGCGGCAACATTTTCAAAGGCTAGATGCAAGGGTTCAGTCTCCAGACACAATCTTGTAGAAGCTTCTACAAAACATCTTGCTCTTTCACAACAAAGCCTTTCAAAGAAGAACACCTTCAACGAAACAGCAGTGGACAGTGGAAGTCCTTCATCCCCAGTTGAAAGTGAAGATTCCTGCCACAGATACACTGTAGATACTCTATGGGACGGATCTCTTAAGCAGGACCACTGCTGCTCAATCTCCACCACTGACCTTTCTAGAAAGGAACACCTTTTGATGAACGATGACAAGACTGAGTGCAGCAAACTAAGAAGAGTCAATAGAATGCGTCTCACCTCAGAACCTTCAGCATTTGAACAATGCCAAGGAAACTTCACAGAGTCTAACAAGAACATCACCACCCCTAAAAGACAATCAAGATCTCAAACTCGGGGTACGCATAGTTTAAGTGTAAACCGTGTTGGTAGATCTCTGTCCATGTCAGCCATCGATGGTGATAAAATAAATAAAGACAGGGACTTGATATTATGCAGGAAGGACAACAAAGACGAAGCTGAAATACCTTTTAGGGAATCGGAGGAAGGCATTGGTTTAGCTGCCTTGGACTCAGCTCATCTGGTCAAACAGTTTGGTAAACAAGGATCAGGCAGAACTGACTTCAATCTGCCAAGTGGTGTCCATGCAACTGCCAGAGGGCAGCTCTTTGTGGTGGATTGTGGTAATGCCCGAATCCAAGTGACAGATCTCCAGAAGAACATTGTGCAGCAAGTCTCTCCTTCAGGATCAGATAGGTCTTCCCGCATTTGCAACTATTTTGATGTGGCTGTAAATTCAAAAGGCCTCATTGCCCTGACCTGTGCCGCTGAACGGGCATTGTTGGTGTTCAGCCGCCATGGACGCCTTCTGCAAACATTTGGTGGCACTATGACTGGTTCCACAAATGAAGAGCTGGATGCTCCAAGAGGGGTCACTGTTACATGTCAAGATGAATTTATAGTTGCTGACATCAAGCGTGGCACCTTAACTGCTTTAAAGTTGGACCCCAAAACTGGGGCAAGGTTAGAACGTACAGTTGTAACCGGGTATCACCGACCTTATTTGGTAGCAGCCTGTCTCACCACTGGCCTTATGGCAGTGTCAGAAAGAGGCAATGAAACTGGTCGTGTTCCATGCATTCGAGTCCTGGAACCCAGCTGGAACACTATCAGAATCCTTGGGGTGTGCTCTGGCCTGGGTCCCGTCCTGACCTGCCCCTGGGGCCTTTGTATAGACCATGATGGGGACGTCTTAGTGGCAGACTGGGGGAAGCAACACCACCATGTACTCATCTACCCATCGAAAGGTGTGGGCTGGCCTCTTGTGACAGACAACCTCAATAGCCCACGGGGGCTGGCGCTTCTCCCCGATGGCCATATGGTTGTATCAGACAGCATGAATCACTGCATTAAGATCTATCGCTACAAATGAACTGCAGAAGGTGGACATTTTTTAAAAATATATGTCACACAGACTGGTGATGATGGTTAAATCTGTGGGCTGCTGAATTTGTCTCTTCATTATTTGGTTGTTCAACCAACAAAATGTCTCCCAAAAACCTTGCATGTACCAGAAAGGAGGACATTAAATACCAGTGTTGACAGCTGTAGGTTTAAAGTTGAGCTCTCTGAATATTTCTTTAAAACATACTTTACTCCAAGGAAACTAACCAGATTTAGAATGTGAAGTACCAGACTGGTTTGTTTACAAAAGAACAATGGTTTCTTATTTTAAGTTGAATTAATGCTCTAATGGTAATCCTTTACAGGGTACAAGCAATACTAAAGGAATGCATCTTTCTCTTTTTTCTCTTAAGATTAACTATAAAGTAAAGATGATTTTTATGTAGTTTCAATTTTAATGTAATGTAATAAACATTATTAAAATGGTTTTAAGCGTCTGTTTGTTAATTATTTTGATAATCAGACTATAAAGTCATTTACTGACATCTCCTATTAGTTTCTTCATGTCCCAAATCTTGACTTGACCAGTGTGGAAAAAGTCTGTAAAATATTAACTAAGCTGATCAGTTAGTTTCTTTGCCAGTTGCATGAAATTGTCACTAGAATACATTACTACATGTATTCTCAAAAACTTGCAAAAGAACATGAGAACAATAATGCCTGACCGTAAAAATCTAATTATGCAACAACAAAACTTCCACCTCTGTATCTGTGCAAGCAAACACACAATGCAAGCTCAGAGTTTCCTAACTGGTCCACACACACCCACACACACACATCCATTATAAAAGCACAGGCTCACCTCTTGGTCAGCTACACTTCCCAGCTCTGTTCCAGCGTGAGGAGCCACATCTGAGGACATCAGCACAGCAAACATGAAGCCGGTGATCACCAGAACCCTGATTCTGCTGGTGCTGGTCACCATTTCCACCACAGCGCCGCTGTAAGTACTGATACATCCCACTGGTTGGTACCACTGTTGAAATTACAGTCGTAAAGGTAATCTAATATTTTAAAGCTTAAATGTAACATGAGGTGAGTTTTTATGTTTGTTTTCTTCAAATGTCATGACAAATCCAAGACATGCTCTTATTTATTTTTATAAATATACTAAATTTCTCAATTGGGAAGAAGAAACATCAAGTTGTTATGCAACTCTGTTTGATGGTTCACAAAGTTCAGCAGCTGGATCAATAAAATAAGCTGGTCTCATTGATCGGCTGCTGACTCATCGCTTAGTAACGTTGTGTAATGTTGGACTGGAGAACAAAATGTAATTTCATTTCTGTCGTTCACAGACAAGACGCTGCAGTAGAAGGTGAGTCCTTCTGGTCTTAGTTAACAGTATTTCACATTTTATCACTCTACAACCAAATACTTCAATGTATTTCTTTGGTGTAAGTTACTCCAGGCGGATGAAATACGGATGAAGTACAAAATTAACTCAGAAAGGCTGAATACTATCACCTCACTTTTGGGATTATTATCTGTAAAAATGTTTATTTTGTGGTGGTTCATCACGGTAAATCCAAAGGAAATACATTGAGGTATTTTTGGCTGAAATGTTACAAATTTAAAATGCCAGTATTGTCTGTAATCCAGATGGAGGCACAAGCCCTGCCGCTCCAGACAGATGTGCTGGTGTTGAGTTCGACGCCATCACTCCTAATGAAAAAGGAAACACTCTCTTCTTCAAAGGTGTGGGAAACTTCTAAACCCAAAAATCTGCATTTTAATGTTGTTTCTACCCTGTAATTTATGTCAAAATGTTATTCTTCTCAGGTGATCACGTGTGGAATGGCTTCACTGGTCCAGCTCAGCTCTCCAGTTTGCACTTTAAGGAACTGAATGGTCCCATCAACGCCGCTTTCCGCATGCACAACACCGAAAACCCAGACGACCACGATCACATCTACCTTTTCCAGGTAACAATAAATTCATCTGTGACGGAACAACAGGGACGTCTGATGTGGTGTCTTATAACGAGCTCTGACTTGACCTCCAGGATGACAAAGTGTACAGTTACTTCAACCAAACTCTGGAGGAAGGGTATCCAAAGCAAATCCAGGAGGATTTTCCTGGAGTTCCAACTCACCTGGACGCTGCAGTGGAGTGTCCCAAAGGAGAGTGCATGGCTGATTCGGTTCTGTTCTTTAAAGGTTTGTCGGCCTAAAATATTTATCTCACGAAGACAATCTGAAGTTATGAAAATAGTAGAGAGAAAAACAAAAGTTTAAGAAAAACAAAAGTTTATTAGGGACATTGTAGATAGAAAATAAAAGGAGGAGTAAATTTCTGCCAAAAACCGCAGAAATCTTTAGATTAATTTTAGACATTTTCTAGGAAAAACAAAGAACATTTCTGAGTATGAAAAGCAAAATTTTGCAAGAAAAAATTAAGAAATTTTTAGATTAATTTCAGAAAATTTCTATTTAAAAATATGGAAATTACTGAGTTTGAAAAATCATAAATTTGGTTAAAAAAAAAATAATAAAAAAATAAATGAATCAGAAAATTTGAGATTCATTTCAGAAATTTACTAGAAAATACTTGGAAATTTTTCAGTTTCAGTTTCTCAGTAGAAAATGTTTTATTATTGGACATTTTTGAAGTTTCAGACGTCTAAAATTTTCTACTTTTTATTTAGAAACTTTCTGAGAATTATCTAAAAAATTCTGAGTCCTCTTCTCACAAATTTTTGACTTTTGGAGCTCAGAAATGTCCTTGTTTTTGCTAGAAAATTTCTGAATTTTTTGTCAGAAATTTGATCCTTTTTCCCCATCTACAATTGCTCTAAATACGTTGTTGTACAGAAAACTGCTGATTAAAAAAGTTAAAAATCTGCCCCTACAGGCCAGGATGTGCATGTTTATGATATTGCCACAAAAGCAGTGAAGACCAAGACATGGTCCCACCTGCCGTCCTGCACGTCGGCTTTCCGCTGGCTTGAGCACTACTACTGTTTCCACGGACAGAACTTCACCCGCTTCCACCCCGTCTCAGGAGAGGTGACCGGCGCCTACCCCAAGGACGCCCGGCATTACTTCATGACCTGCCCCAACTTTGGTCAGTTCTTTAAGGATTAATGTCACCACTTTCATTGTTTGGTGAAAGGAATAACAGTGGATTTTATGGCTTTGTTTGTTCTTGATTTCGTGTATGACTGTAGGACACGGAGGAGATCGGAAACCCCTTAAATGCAGCGACGTCAAACTGAACGCAGCCACCACAGACGATGGAGGCAGGACCTATTTCTTTGCAGGTAACACAAGAACGGCACTGAAAGCTAAAGATTCATAGTATAACAATGCAAAATATTACATGCATGTCATATGAAACAAAACGATAGAAGCAGAAGAAGTGTAGATCAGAAAGTCTTAAACTTAGCACTTTATCTTGTCTTGCCCAAAAAATGTCTTGTTATAAGTGAATTAATCTGCCAATGGAACTGGTACTTTTGTTAATCAATATTAAGGAATCATTGACTTAAAACAAGCTGTATATCTTACTGAAAAGTCACCCGTAAGTTAGTTTTCTCTTATTTCAAGGGTACTAAGATATTTGCACTAGAAACTAGACCAAAAACACTTGGTAAGATTTAGTGCTTTTGCTGAAATAAAAGTGTTGAATCTCTCTAGGTCCGATCTACATGCGTGTTGACACACACCGTGACGGATTTCATGCCTTCCCAATAACCAGAGCGTGGAGGGAGGTGAACGATGGAGTTGATGCCGTTTTCTCTTACGACAGCAAAATCTACTTGATTAAGGTAGCTTCATCCTCGAGATTCTTTAATGAATTCAAAATGGGTAAAATATGAAATAAATGGCGCTTATTTCTCCAAACATTTGCAGGGCGATCAGGTTTACATCTACAAAGCAGACGCTCACTTCACCTTGATCGAAGGCTACCCTAAAACTGTCAAGGAGGAGCTGGGCATTGAGGGAACTGTGGATGCCGCGTTTGTATGCCCAAATGAAAACATTGCTCACATAATTCAAGGTAAGATGTCTAAATATTTATTTCTAATGACATGTTTTGAATTATGATGAAACAGAAGACTCAGGGATTAATTAATATCTCAACAAACATCCTCCAACAGGGAACAGCATGCGTGACGTTGACCTCACCGCCACACCCAGGGTTATTAGCCAAAACTTTCCATTGCCGTTGTCTGACATAGACGCCGGTCTGTGCGGTGATGACGGGATAAGGCTATTTAAAGGCTCGCAGTTTTACTACTATGAAAGCCCCAGGATACTGGCGATGGGCAGGATCGCGCCAGTGGCCTCGGACATCACCTCAGCGCTGATGGGATGTGAGGATTAGGGAGGAGAGAGGAGATATCTCTGAGAAATGGCAAAGAAATGATCTCTAACTCAAACATAACTGCCTAGACAATTTATCATCTGCAACTTTGGACAAGCCTTGTGTCATGCAGTCAAGTTTGTCTTTTGTTTGGAGAATAAAAAGCAAAAAGAAAACCACTTTAGTCTGTTCTTTTTGCTATCAATGCACAGTTTGTCCACTAGAGGACCCACTGTCCACGTCACGCAGGCTGGGAAAGCATTTCAATATTTCCCAGGTTTGGAAAAAGACCATTGAGAATTAAATACATTTGTGGTTCTCCAGAAAAGTCATTCTATAATGACTATGATACAATGATATCTTAATTTAGACAGCATGGAAAAAACTGTTCAAACGTCCAGCTGGTGCATGCGTCCAGTGTTTAGAGGACTATCACAAAGCTTAAATACTAAATGTAGAGTTTAGACCCAACAGAAATAAATTTTCATTATTTTAAGGCATAAATAAATCACTTCAGAAAATTTAACAAGGAGATTGTAGTTAAGCTTCTGTTGAAGTGAGGATAAATGTTGGCCCTGCTCTTCCCCCACTAAACAGACCTGAAATATCTGCATTTATTTTTGATAATACCAAATAACATTGGTAAAAACTGGCTCACTATTTCGACTTACAGGGTTTTACAAACTGCCTGTGTCCATATTGGAGCATATGGACCCATACTCTTCAGCATGGGTCAGGGAAGCTATAATCGGCATTCAAGGCCTTTTCACGCCCTGGAGAGGTCTTTGTTCACTCAAAATCCCTGGGACATAAAGGAAGCGCTGGCCTCAGCACAGATTCAGAGTCCAGACAGTGAGGACTCACATGAAAACGAGTCCCAAATGGCAGACATTACAAACTATTATCATTATAAACCCAGAAATATTATATATTACAACCAGTTAGAAGTTGATATGTCACTTAGCTTAATTACTTTATATTTAATTAT